TGGGGGGGAACCATGGATGTCTGTTGCCACTGTGACAAATGACCACAAACATAGTGGCTTAAAACATACAAATGACTTTTTACAGTTCCGGAGGTCAGAAGTCTGAAAGGGGTCTCACTGGGCTAATATCAAGGCCTTGCCAGAGCTGCATTGCTCTGTGCAGTCTCGAGGGGAGACTCCGTTTCCTTGCTTCTCCGGCTTGGAGAGGTCGCTTGTGTTCCTCGGCTCACGGCTCTTTCCCTATCTGCAAAGCCAGCAACTGAACTCCTCTGACTTCTGCTTCTGCCACCACATCTCCTTCCGACTCTTCTGCCTTCTCTTTCCATCTTCTAAGGCCCGATGTAGGACTGCTGCGTAATTTAGGATAATCCCCCTGTGTCATGATTCTTAACTTGCTTGAGTCTGCAATGTCCCCTTTGCCATAACGTATTCACAGGTTCCAGGGATTAGGACATGGACATCTTTGGGGGGCCATCATCCTGCCCACTACAGGCAACCAACCTCCATCTCTTTTCCTTTTTGGAAGGGAGAGGGAGGGAGGTGTTTAGACTTCGTAGAGAAAGTGGCATTCAAGCTGACGGCAGGAAGGCAAGTGTAAGCAGAGGGGAGGTCCGGGGGTGGAGAGGAGGCATGGTGCATTGGTGGCTACATGTCAGCAATCACTAGGTTATGTTCCCCAACAACCAACCTCCCAAGTCTCAGGGTCCCACAGAAGCGAAGACTTACTGCTCATTTAAGCTACATGTCCCCCGTGGACACACTCCATGTCTGACTGTGCTCCATGTCATCATTCCAGGACCTAGGCTGAAAGAGCAGCGCCTATCGCGGACATGCTGGGCTCACGGCAGAGGAACAAGGAGGGGCAAAACCACAAGATGACGCTCAAAGCTCCTGCTTTGGGATGACACATATCCCCTCCACTCACATTTCGCCAGCCAAAGAAGTCAGTTTATAAGGCCAGGGCTGACATCGGTGGGACAGGAAGTAAAATCCTCTCAAGGGAAGGGGCTGTGAATAATTGGGGAGGATTGAACTGAAACGGTCCCAAGAGACTGGAGGGCAGAATAAGATGTGTGATGGGGCTTGAAGCTCAGAGGTGGTGAGGACCAGACCATGCATGGCTCAGATGTGCATCAGTTTCCCTTGCTGGGGTGCAGGCTCCACGAGGGCGGGAGCTGGGTCTCTGCCTTATGGTCCAGCCCAGTGTCTCCCAGCCTTTTCTGTCCTCGTCATTCCCCTCCATGAAATCTCAGTGCCAGGTCGCCTGGTATGCACGGCATGCACACCTGGGCTTTACATACGCAAACAGTATTTTTGCCCTCCGAAGAACCAATTTTCATCCCCTTGGTGAACTTCCAAAAATTGAACCTGAGTATCTTTCCGCTTTCAGAAGTCTTCTCCACTGTCTTTTGGGAAGGTCCATTAAGCATGACTGAAATTTCCCTGATTAAAGCTCTTTACTATGCGCAGCTAGGGCCAGCAGTATCCTCGGGTCACCTTTTGGTTTTGTATTTTAAATACTTACGGACTTTCTCCTTTTGGGGAAGCCCTGGCAATCTGCCCAGTCTGAGCCCTCAGCACTGTCAACGTACCCAGCTAGTTAGTTGCTCTTCTTTGGTCTGGTTTTAGGAACCAGACGCACTGCATGAACGGGACAGATGCTGAGCGAAGGTCTTGGAGCACTAGAGGAAACGTGCAGGAGCTTGGTGCTCTGCCTGATGCAGCCAGTGAAGTTCAGTGAACATCAACTCAAGGCCAGTGATGGGCCAGGAATTGGTCTAGGCACCGAGGATACAACAGCGGATAAAAACGGGCAGTCCTCGCCCTCTGGGGATCAGAGATGTCCAAAGACATTGGGGTTTCTGAGGTCTGACCGTGCGACAGTGGTGGTGCCAGGAAGTGAGTCATCCTGCGCTTGGTCAGTCAAACCGGGGACACGTTTGTCTTCAGCTATACTCTTGGATTTCATTTTTGTTTGTTCTTGACTTGAACAAACATGAAGAGTTAACAGTGAATGTGGAGACTGAGAAGTTATGGGGGAATGCACGAATTCACTGATCTGGTATTCTTTGTAACTACATAGAAAATGTAGTCACCTGCCTCGGGTTCAGCCGGTCTTCACCGCAACAAAATGAAATCTATACTATTCATCATTTGCATGTGGAGCAACGGTAGCCTGTGGATTTCTAAAATACAGATTTTTTGAAGTTTTAAAATTTAGAAAAGAAATTTAAAGGAATTGGGGGTTCAAGGTCAGAGGCGGTTACTAAGGAGAAACAAAAGGATTTCACATTCCAAGTCCTTACCTCGGGCTACAGGTCGCTACCACACTGGCTGCACTGCTCTCTTCCCTCATTCTGCTCCAGCCACGTTGGCCTCCTTGGCCTCACCAAGCCTGCTTCCATTCCAGACGCTTTGCCCTTACGTAAGCTATGTCCAGGAAGCCCAATGGGTTGCGCACGGCCCACCCCTGCACTCAGGCCCTGTGCCAGGGTCACTTCCGCAGAGGACTCCCCGGTCCCCTCCCCTACCTCTCTCTGTACCTTCACATTGTTCTTCCCAGCATTTATTATCAAGCGTCATGTTACGCATATGTTTGGTCTGCCTTCCCACTTAAATGTAAGCCCTACCAGGGCAGAGACTTGTTCCCTGCTACTCCCAGTTCCTAGAAGGGACCAGCACACAAGGCACTCATAATTTGAATTACTTTGTAGACTGATTATAGCTTAAAACTTGACTACTCACTTTTTTCTTTGAGACATCTATGAATAAGGCTTCTGAAGGTAACACACTCGACGCTGACATGTTCTTATAAAAAAAAACCAACTTACTTATTTTGAGATGTTTGTGTGTTTCAGTCTTAGAAGTGTGAAGTTCATCTATTCTGTGTTCTTCTCACTCAGGAAAGAGTTAACAGGAATACTAGTTAAACATGTTCAGCATAACCACTAGGACATTTTTCCTCAATCATTTCTTTCCTCTGACCAATCACAGCCTAAAGAGCCTGCCTTAGGCCGTCAGTCCCTGACTATGCTCTTTGGCTTTAACAGTTCTTTCCTTCTACTTCCATCCTACCAAGGTGCCCATACGGGCCTTTTCCAATACAGTCGGCCTCTTGCCACAGACAGCTAGCACCCCGTGAGGCATATTCGAGTAGTTTGGGTTTTTGCCTCCACAGGGTAAGTTGGATTCTTAAGGCTTCTTAAGCTGAGGCTGGACTGCCCAGCCCCAGACAGCCTATCCCCTCCTCCACCAAACAGGCCGTTTAACATGTGTTTACAAAACCCATGCTTTTCCTTTGATGGTTTCGTTTTGTAGCAACCGAAATGGTAGCTTTTGGTAAGCACAAAGTTTAGAGAAAGAGAAATATTCTTAGAATAATAAAACAATCTTATTTTCTAAGTGATAGCTATGAATACAAAGCAGTATAAGAGTTCTGACAATATATGTTAACATACATATATATAATGTATGTATGTTATACACTCTATGTATTATATATATATGTGTATATATATATATAATGTCTTTAAATGAATACACTGGATAGAAAAGGAAAACGATTGGCTCTCATGCAATCCTTTTAATTAGGTCAAGGTTTCGTGCTATCTGAGGATAAATGAAAGGGAACACTTTTTAAAATTCCCCAGTTGTTAGTGGCTAAGAATACTGAAACTGAAACTCAGTTAAAAAGTAACTGTAGAAAAATAATCTTGGAAACACTTTGTCAAACTATTTCCAAAGCCAAGAAAGTGCAAAGACTGAAAAAAGATTTAAAGGCACCCTACAAAAGCCAGGACACGCAGAGATGGGAGGCTGGGCAGGACACGATGATGAAGCATGTGCTGTTTTCCATTTTAAGTTACGTAACGTGGTTTTAATCATTTTCCAGAAATTTTTCCAAATTAGAAGAGAGGAAAAATCACCTTTAAAAGATATCAGTAAGACTAAACTTTTACTTTATCCTGTTTGAGATCAACCCTGGCCTCACAGCTCCACTGACAGGCCATCACACCCAAGTAAGAACGGTGACATAAACCCGCAGACTGAATAATGCATCTCTACCCCTAATCTCTCATCTCTACTTTTAGCTGATGTGGCATTTCTGCCTTTTTCATTCACGCTAAGTTGAGAAAAAGCTCAAGCCTACATCAGATGACCTTCAAAACTTCATTTTCTGATGAAAAATAAGAAACACATACATTTCCTAGGGTATCAAAACTTTTGAAGAATGTATAGGTCAATTAAAGTCATAGTACAGATGTCATTAAGAACAAAAACTCTGGTCGGGTTTTCAGTTGGGCACCAGCAGACGTCTTCAACAACATTCCTCATAGGAAGAACTACACCCCTGCCCAAGATCTACATGTATTAAAATCACACGTGAAGAAAGACCACCAGTAATCAGAGAACAAAATAAGAATTCAGACATGCGGAGGAAAAGGAAAGCCAAAAGAGACGTTATACTGAACTTAAAGCAAAGAAAACGTCTCTTTTCAGAGAGTAACTCTGCAACGTCTTTGCACTGGAGTGTCTTAGAAGCGCAAAGGTTGATAAAACAGATTTCATTCCTAGATGCTACAGCCAGGGTTGTCTTGAGCTAACCCCAGGTACAGGCTAGAGAAAAGGAAAGAGGACAGTGAACGGGTGCGTAGGAAGCAGAGGAAGGTGGTATGGTGGGGACAGGAGGGAGACGTGCACACAACGCAGCAGGGGCAAAGCGTCAGGAAGCACTTACACGTGACGCCACTGCTGATTTCTGCTCTACTCACTATAGTTTGTTTGGAAAGGTCCTATTTAATGGGGATGAGAAACTATTACTTTAAAAAAGAAAAAGGCACAGTAAATTTTATTTATGTGTTTATACGAAAACTTATACCAATCAAGTCTTTAACATGTAAGAAGTAAATCCATATTTGCAAAGCTAAATATATGAAAATATAAAAGCAGACTGAATTATCAAAAAGAAAACATTTTATTTGTATCACTAAATACAATTAGTTTCCCTGATTATAACCCATAATGTGTGTCACCTAAAATAGGATGGTCTGTACAGAGGTGAACAAACCCAGGTCTATGTGTACACAAATATACACTGAACCTCTGACTTCAGAAAAAGCAGAGCTGAGCTTATTAAATTATTGTCTGTCTGTTTTAGAAACTCTTACCATTTGAAGGAAATGAGAGGAAGATTTAGGTAGCAGAGTAATTGTATAATAACTTAACGAGTTAAAAGCTTGTAGTGATGAAATAACCTTGTGCACCGTTCTCAGCAATTTCAGGCAACAGGTCCTTTTGCAGATCCCAAGTGTGAAAAAAGACAACCAATCACTGAAGTAACTGGGTTCAGTTCATTTGCCATGTGGTTGGTCATGGTGCATTTCTGGTGTATAAGTCAATAGAACGATCATGACCCATAGGTGAAGCAAAGCCTAAAGAAAGAAAGAACAATTTACAGATTAGCCAATATATCAATCTTCACCAAAGGCCCGCTGTGTCGTACCCTGAGGGCGGGAACCATGTCTTGTCTTTGCAGTTCTGTGGTTAGCACTGGGTCTCTGCAACCTTGCAAGGGCCCAGTACCTGTTTACTGGATAAATAATGAAGAAACAAACATGCAAACAAACAAGCTAAGTGCAATGGAGGGTAACGGTTTGGATACCTATACAATTCTCAGTTGAGAATTATCAAAGTTGTTAGCACATTCATAATATGCATGGGTACACATAAATAACCGATCAGGTGATTATAATGCAGAGTAGATGCCAGGATTAAAATTGCTAGATAGGGCGCCTGGGTGGCTCAGTTGGTTAAGCGACTGCCTTTGGCTCAGGTCATGATCCTGGAGTCCCGGGATCAAGTCCCACATCGGGCTCCCTGCTCGGCAGGGAGTCTGCTTCTCCCTCTAACCCTCTTCCCTCTCGTGCTCTCTATCTCTCATTCTCTCTCTCTCAAATAAATAAATAAAATCTTTAAAAAAAAAATAAAATTGCTAGATATACATAAGGTTGGTTGCAAAGGCTTTTTAGAAGAGAGTCATGGTGGGTGTTTTTGCAAAAGGGTTTAGCCATGATTTCCCATCTTCCCATGATGGGAAGACATTCCTGACAGGAATAATATGTCAGGCTTCAGAGGCTGATTTAGGGTCTAGCACAGGACCTGCAGTGAGGAACGTGCCCCAGCTCCCTCACGGCAGCGCTATGACACATGGCGCAGGTGTTCTTTATCACCTCCAAAACCGGGAATCCACCTGTGTGGCGCCTATTCTAAATCCTTCTTGATGCTGTTCAATTTGTTTCTTTTCCTCTATCCATCCCTCACTTCTTAAAAAAACTTTTTATTCAAAGGAGTAACTCTTCCCTCTAGTGGATCACAGAGAAATTTCTTTCTAAGTAAGCTTTTTTCTTTTTCAGGAAGACTGCTTGTCTTAACTGAACTCAACTAGACGTCCTCAGAACAGTTAGAAGACATTTTACGGTCAAAGGACACATGAAACAGTATCCCAATCCATGGTGACCATTGTATTAGAGCTAAGAAATCGGAAAAAATGAAAATCAGCCTTGAGATCCTTTCAGAATATAAAGCAAAACACACGAAAATAATAAAAAAATAATCAAAGAAACTTTACACCAACATAAAAATGAAATCAATTGTTTTGCACCACATTTTTGTCATTAGAGGGCCTCAGAAGTGGAGGGAACTATTAAACTGCATTACAGGTAAATTTATTGTAGGACAAGCCTTTGAGCAATTTATATTTTAGATGTAATAACTATAACTCTACTTGCATCCTTGAGAAAAAAAAGTTTTAATGACCAGAAATGAGTTCTATTTTCTTTCAAAACTAATTACTGGACTTTTAGTGAAAATGATCAGTAGCTGAAAAAAACTTGTTAAAAATCAAGTGTAGCATTATTTTTTCAAATAAATTTACTTACCATATATATAATTACAAAAACTCGTGCTATGGGGTATCTTCGGAGAAAAATTCCCAGGCGGATGCTGCGCAAATGGAGGTTGGTGGGGGAGGGGAGAGAAAACAGTTACACTCAAAGCACATCTTCCTGTGGTCAGAGCTAATGATGCTTTTAGCATTTCTCTCATTTAAACTATTTATGTGGCCACTACTGTAAAAATCATTTTACACTAGATTGTTAAATGACTACTTGAAATAACCATATGGAAACATCATGGTAAATACTTTCTCTACTGTTTGTGGCTTGACTGTTAAATACAATCTATTTCCCTTAATTCTTCAGCTACAACTATAGGAGGCAAGCTCTCTAAATAATTTTTCTTTTAGAGACCAAAGAAGTTAGAAGAAAGAGATAAGGCAAGCGTCAACACATGAATGGGAAAAAGAGTCTGTTTGGTTAACACTTGCAATAGCTAATCTGGAAGCTGGTGCAGGGACACAAGCTTCTAAAAGGCTCAGAGCTATAGAAACTCAAGTAAACACTTAACTAAAGTAAATGTGGGAAGAACATGAAGTCCAGACCTGACTACTCATGCCTCTTTGCAACATTTTTTCCCGGTCAAGATAGATACACATACAGGCAAAATACACCTTTCTTCTACGCCTTTCTGCTTCTTTCACCACCATCAGAATAATGCCCTGTATCTAGTTTCTCTAAAAATTATAATATAGGTTGAATAAATGAATAGTTGAAATAAATGTGCTTAATAATCTGGACACAACGACTATGGCATCTTTGGCCCATGGCCTCAAGAACCTAAGCAAATCGTCCTCTTCGTTTTTAACACCACAGCTCTATTCTGACACAAAAAGAAAAGATTGCTCTATTTTGCAACAATTCATTATAACTGTGTTTAATTATAAACACTAAGAAGCAAAAGAGTTTAGTGGATTATTTAAACATGAAGTTTATCAAGGCAAACATACACTGTTAAAACATTTTCTTAATAAGGTGCATGTCTGCTAGTATAAAGAAGTTACAAATATACAATAACATGTATACAAATTATACATTACTTATATAGTACATATAAAGTATATATTAAAATGAATACTGTTCACTTGTACATACTGGCATCTTTTATTCTCATCACATGATAAAGTAATGAAAGAAAATATTCCAAGGATGCATTTACATGAGATAGAGGTTTTCTCACTGAAATTTAGTAAGAGTTTACTATAGAAAGAAGAGAAATGTGGTTAGGGAGCAAGATGGCAGAGGAGTAGGAGACCTGGATTTCGTCTGGTCTCAGGAATTCAGCTGGACAGGGATCAAACCATTCTGAACACGTACACACTCAACAGGAGATCGAAGAAAAGAATAGCAACAACTCTCTGAACAGAAAAGTGACCGCCTTCTGGAAGGTCGGACGTGCGGAGAAGTGAATCCGAGGCGATATTCGGGAGGATAGACAGCGGGGGAGGGGGCCTCCGTCAGCCGCTTCTGGCAAGTGACAGAGCCACGGAGCACAAAATCGGAACTTTAGAAGTCGGTTCTGCTGAGGGACGTCGCTCCAGTGGCTACACGGGGGTGGAACCCTCGTGGGACAGTGTGGTCTCAGGACCCTCGGGGTCACAGAAAGACGGGGGGTGCCTGAGTGCGGCAGAGCTCCCAGGTATCAGAGCGGGGAAGCCGGCTGCAGAGACGGAGCTGAGGAGCGGGTTCTCAGCTCGGGGTTGCCATAAACGTGATCTGCCGCACAGTGGGGCCACTGCTCCTCCAGCAGGGACCCAAAAAGCGGCAGAACTGGGGAGACTCCCCTTCCTCCCCCGAGGGAAGTGGTGCAGAAGCGCATCGCAGGGATCTGCTGGATTTGGAGACTCCACACCAAGTCGGGTGCCAGAGATAGAAATGCTGGGTCACAGGCCCGGTGAGCACGGAGTGCAGCCAGAGACCGGGGAGACGGGAGAGACTGCTTTTCTCTGGGGGCTCACTGAGGAACGGGGCCCAAGTTATCGGCTCCTCTGGGGCAGAGACTGAGAGGCCGCCATTTTCACTCTCATCCTCCAAAGCTGTACCGAAAGCTTGCAGGAAACAAAAGCTCCCGAGAGCAAACCGGAGATTACTTTGCCCAGACCGGGCAAGGGCGGGGCAATTCCGCCTCCGGCAAAGACGTTTGGGAACCACGGCAACAGGCCCCTCCCCCAGGAGATC